TGAGCGAAATGTCATCATTTTAAAATGGCACTGGACAGACACCTAAAGCCGGTGCCCTATCAGCCGGGCTGAGGTTCGGACGTTGGACAACGTGAGGGCAGAAGTAACAGCCTGGTTGATCAGGCCCTGATCCACCGAGAGGCCTGGTCAAAGACTGAGCCGCAAGAGTGTTGACCACCCAGAACGCCCTCCAGGTAGTGAACATAATTAAATTCCTTGTGGCTAAAAATGTGTATTTAAAAGCAATACTTATTCTGATAAATTAGACACATGTGCAGCACTCGGGAATCTTTAAAGAAAGATACCCAACTGTTACACATGTGTCTAATTTATCAACTTGTCGGTTCTCTGAACTATTCATCTATATTACATATTGTTTATGATACCTGGGTGACAAGCTATGGATTTGTCAACGCTGCCAGTACCGCAAATGACGTCAAATGACGTCAAATTGGCTTTCTTGTGCTTCGAAGCCTTAATGGACTCTGATTCCAAGAGACTTTTACTATGTTGTTAAAAGTCTCTTCTAAGTGAATCCTGGGGGAGGGGGGAATCAGCTTGTTAGTATTTTTTTCCTGGTCAAATCTAATATTTTTAGACTGTCTCTTCAGTGTAGGTAAATGCTGATCTTTCTTACTGGAAGCTTTGAATTAGTTTTAGTCTGTGTACCTTCTCATCTGACATTTTTATTGACGAAACTGAGATGCTACTTTCCACGTGATAACGAATGAATGCTTCTTCTGATTCGCTTCATATCTCCGACGCTCCTAAGTTCCTCCGCTAACTTATGCAGCTTTTCTTCAAAATGTCCCTTTTGTGTCCCATGTCTGGAACATCCTGTCTCTGTCCACTCTGTCGATTTATCTCACTATATAATGTGTCGTTATCATGTCTCCCTTATCCCTCCTGTCCTTCAGTGCCGTCAGGTCGAGTTCCGTTAACCTCTCCTCGTAGGACATGCCCCTTAGCTTAGGGACTAGTCTCGTTGCAAACATTTTTTGTATCCCACATGTCTCCAACACCCTATTAGTCGGAAGAACAAAAGGCACAATACCTTGACTCGAAAAATACACAAATTACAAGTCAGTGTGACTTGTAAATGGTCCAGGTGGGACCGAAACGTCATCGTAAGCTCCTCTCTTCTATGTGCGGGTTATTTGTGCAGGTAATATAGATATTATTGCTATAACGGAGACATGGTTCAACTTGGAAGATAGAGAAATGCCTTCTGAATGCAACTTACAGGGTTATAAACTATTCCACACTGATAGGGTCAACAGGAAGGGTGGTGGAGTGGCGATGTGTGTCAAAGTTAATTTAAATTGTTGTGTTAAACAAGATATAAGATTAGAAACATCGGACACAGAATCTGTTTGGCTACAGTTCCTCGAGGGACGTGAAAAATTAATTTTGTATGTGATTTATAGGTCCCCAAACCTTGATAGGGAGGGCAGTAAGCTGTTATGGGACGATATTCATAAGGCATCTAGATATAAAAATGTTGTGTTAATGGGAGATTTTAACTTTAGACAAATTGATTGGAACCATATCAAGAAAGTCTAGTGACTTTCTTGATATGGTTCAGGATTGCTTTTTAAAACAGTTTGTGACAGAACCAACTAGAGGAAACAACCTGCATGACTTGGTTCTTGCCAACAAAGAGTCACTAATTAATAATCTTGAGGTTAATGATGAGCTTGAGGAATCAAGTCTCTGTCCCAGATTTCTGCTTGGCCGACTTCATGGGACTGAGAAATTGCCTGGGTGGGCTAAATTGGGATGTCCTGACTATGGGTCAGGTAGGTGGTGTTGGTTGCCAATATGACGTGTTTCAGAGCATAGTTCTAGCTGCCCAGACAACTTTTGTTCCGAGCAGGGAAATTAGATCTAACACAAATGATCCCAAATGGATAAACAAAAGATTAAAACATCTCATTGGTCAAAGAGAGGAATATACATGTATAGTAAGTAAGTAAGTAAGTAAGTAAGTAAGTTTATTCAGGTATACACAAATACAGTTACATAGAACCGTATCAAAAGAGGGGATGGGCACTTAAGAAATCAATATATTCAGTTAAAGAGAGATAAAAAAAAAGGAAAAAAAAATGCAAAAGGGACTATGTGACTAGAGTCGCAAGGGATTCGAAGACTAACACAAAAGGGTTCTTTCAGGTATACAGAAGTAAGATTAGGGACAAGATAGGCCTACTTAAGAGTAACTCTGGTCAGATCACTGACAATGATAAGGAAATGTGTAAACTTTTCAACACTTACCGCCTCTCAGTTTTTACTTAGGAAGATACTAGCTAAATTCCAGAAATAATAAATTATTTAGAACAGGACGATAATAAACTATGTATGATTAGGGTAACTAGTGACATGGTCCTCAGACAAATATAGAAATTTAAACCTAACAAATTCCCTGATGAACTGTTTGCAAGAGCTTTAAAGGAATGTAAAGAGGAGCTTAACATACCTTTGGCTAATCTTTTCATTGTATCACTACAAACTACGAATTGCCGAGGCAGTTCGTAGCCATCTTGAAAGGCATAACTTGATTAACGAAACTCAACATGGTTTTACAAAGGGGCGTTCCTGTCTTACGAATTTACTAACTTTTTTCACTAAGGTGTTTGAGGAAGTAGATCATGATATTGAATATGATATTGTGTATATGGACTTCAGTAAGGCTTTCGATAAAGTTCCACATCAGACACTATTGAGGAAACTTAGACACACGGAATAGGAGAAATTTTTTCCTTGGTAGAGGCATGGTTGGCAAATAGGCAGCAGAGAGTTTGCATAAATGGGGAGAAATCAGAATGGTGGCACGTCACAAGCGGTGTTCCACAAAAGTCAGTGTTGGTCCCTTTGTTGTTCACAATCTACATAAACGACATAGATGAGGGAATAAATAGTGACATAAGCAATTTTGCTGATGACACCAAAATAGGCCGTCCAATTCATTCTAATGAGGACATTAGAGCACTCTAGGATGATTTACATAGACTATGAATAGACTGATGCATGGTCGGAGAAGTGGCAGATGCAGTTTAATATAGACAAATGCAAAGTTCTAAATGTTGGATAGGAGAATAACCATGCTACATATAAACTAAATAATGTAGATCTTAATATTACTGATTGGGAAAAGGATTTAGGAGTTCTGGTTAGCAGTAATCTGAAACCATGACAACAGTGCATAAGTGTTCGCAATAAAGCTAACAGAATTCTTGGCTTCATAGCAAGAAGTATAAATAATAGAAGTCCTCAGGTTGTTCATCAACTCTATACATCCTTGGTTAGGCCTCATTTAGATTATGCTGCACAGTTCTGGTCACCGTATTACAGAATGAATATAAATGCTATGGAAAGCGTACAGAGGAGGATGACAAAGTTGATCCCATGTATCAGAAATCTTTCCTATGAGGATAGACTGAGGACCCTGAGTCTGCATTATCTAGAAAGGATATGATTGAGGTGTATAAATGGAAAACGGGAATAAATATAGGGGATGTCCACAAATAACCCGCACATAGAAGAGTGGAGCTTACAACGACGTATCGGTCCGACTTGGACCATTTACAAAGTCACGCTAACGAGAAGTAGAGCAGGACGGGTATATATAGGCAGGAAGTGGTAGTGGTAGTAGTAGTAGTAGTAGTAGTAGTAGTAGTAGTAGTAGTAGTAGTAGTAGTAGTAGTAGTAGTAATAGTGGCGGAGGTGGAAGGAAGTAGTGGTGGGGAAGAAAGGAGGGGGCGCCAGTCAAATACAAAGACAGGGAGCACTGCAAGGGAGCTAGGTGCCCACAGAGGGAGAGCAAGACCACAGTGGAGGGGGGGGGATAATAAAATAAATAATGAAGGAACAGAAACACGAGGCAGAAGAAAGAAAGACAACCCAGAAGAGAAGAAGGAAAGAGGAAAGGGGAAGAGGGAAAATAAGAAAAAGGAGGAACCAGGTTAGGCCACGGGTGTTCTAAAGTTTGGAGCATTTTACAATGTAGTGGGAGAGGAAGGCATCTACAGAGACGAAGCCAGGACTAAGATTCATACAAAGTTGGAAAGTTGGAAGTAGGGAAGACAGTTTTAGCAGAATACCAGTCAATAGGATGGCTGTGATCTCTGACGTGACAGAAAAGAGCATTGTTCGTGTCGGCAAGCCTAACACTATTTTTGTGCTCCCTAAGTCTGTCAGAAAGAGATCGGCCAGTTTCTCCAAAGTATTGAAGAGGACAGGAGGAGCAAGTAATAGAGTAGACACCAGGAACATCTGTAGAGGGAGGAGAGGTATGAACGAGATTAGTGCAAAGAGTGTTAGTCAGGTGGAAAGTAAGTTTGATGCCTAAGGAACGGAGAGAGCTGTTGAGATTAGAAAGACCGGAAATGTAGGGAAGGCAGATGACAGAAGAATTCCCAGGAGTAGAGAGTCTGGGAGAGAAGAAATTACGTTTAGCACGTGAGAGGGCAGAGTCTATGAAATGGGAAGGGTAGCCAAGACGGGAAAATGAATTATGAAGAGTGGAAATTTCTGCTGGAAGGAACTGAGGATCACATATGCGGAGAGCACGGAGCAAGAGGGAGATAAGAACACTTTTCTTGAAGGATACAGGAAAGCACTGGTTTGGTATTAGAATTGTGGATGAGTAGAACAAACTCCCGAGTACAGTCACAGAAGTTAAGACGTTGTGTAATTTTAAAAATAAGTAGATAAATACATGCGGGGTGTAGGTGGGTGTGAGTTGGACCTGACTAGCTTGTGCTACTAGGTCAAATGCCATGCTCCTTCCTTAAGTGAATATGACCTGACCTGACTAGGTAAGGGCGTTGACTTAAGCCGGTAAAATAATTGGAGCTGCCTCGCATGGGCTAGTAGGCCTGCTGCAGTGTTCCTTCTTTCGTATGTTCTAGTATTCCCTTCTTCTGCAACCTCAGCTACAACTACATGTATTTCGATTGCCTCCTGCACTTCTAATATCATTTGTTCCATTTGTTCCGCAGGTTTTGTGGCACGGGAGGCCATGGAGGACTTTTATGGCACAGACATGTATGGGGGTGCTGAGGCCACCGTACAACACAAAAAGGAGATCAAGAGAGTCTGGCCACAACAGCACGAATTAGGTAAGCAGGAAGATGGGCAGGTGAGTAAGAGAGAGTGTAGGAGTGTGTGCACTTAGCGTCGATAAGTGTAACAAAAGGGAGTAAGAACAGGAATGTATTGATAAATTATTCTTTTTTTAAACCTTTGTTTAAATTTGGCCACATTGGTTCATGACGCTCGTCTTTTTTGGTAGGCCTAAAATTTTCTTTCTTCCCTAAAAGATGTTTCACGTGTTCCTCCATTTTGGATCATTTATATTCGAATTTACTTTATTATAAGCTTTACTGAAATACTTTAATTTAAGGTTAATTGTAATAGATTTGTGATTGATTGCTCCAAGCTCCTCTGATTTCCAGTTTATTAACAATTGTCTATTTGTGTGCTAGATCTTCATCAGGTAGGTAATTTGCCTCGTTAGTTCTACTTTCTACTACCACTACTTCTACCACTACTCTATTATCCCCTTTACCACTACCAATACTTCTTTTTCTTCCTCTCTTGGTCCCGTCCCAGTCCCCCTTGCCCATATATACACCGGCTCCCACTCTCTCTCTTTTGTGTTAGTGCAGGGGTTCCCAACCAGGGGTGCTCGCACCCCCTGGGGGTGCGAGACATCATTTCCAGGGGGTGTGAGAAGCATCCGTCTTATAATAATCATAGTAAAATTACCATTATGTTAATCGGAGACATCCTTTCTTGTCCATATGTTTGATTTTTTACATATTAAAAAATAAAATTCCTTTCTGAAGGTTTGAAAGTTAGTTCTTGATTGGACTTTTTTGTATATATTTCAAGCAAGAGTTATTATTTTTGTAAGGTGTATTCAAATATCATTCTGTGATATGTTTCTTTTCTGTAAGTCTGATTTTTGTTCACATATTATATTAGAAAGTGAAATAAATATCTTCTTTTAAGAAAATTTAGTATGATTCCACATCCTTTATCCTTGAACAAAGTGTAAATTGTAGGGGGTGCGAGGTTAGAGCAAAAATTATATAGGGGTGCGGGAGTAAGAAAAGGTTGGGAACCACTGTGCTAGTGTAACTTTGTAAATGGTACAAGTCGGACCGAAACGTTGTCGTCAGTATCTCTCTCCTATGTGATGGTCAATTGTGTACTGTCACAAACTGTTGTAAGAAAACTTCTGGATTTTCTATAGGAAGCCTTAATTTTTGACTCCCAGTGAAGTCTCTCCCGGCCGCTATCCAAGTTTTAATGTCGCTCCAAAGTCTATGCAGACACTGTGTGTATTCCTTCTGTTTTTATACATGGTTTTATGCAGCAGTTAAAGTTTCTGCACATATAGATTCATCCTACCTCCCCTCCGGTTATTTCTACCAAACTGGAACAAGTTAAAACCCCTGAATATGACACTTAGCAGGCACGTCTCGACTCCTCAAATTAAACCACGTCTCAGTTATTGCAAAACAAGCCATCAACGTTTCCTCACAAGCCATTAATCTTCATTCATCCCTCTTGCTTCTAGCGTTGCTACCATTTTTGTGTAATACATGCTGAGAAACTCTCATTCCTCAGTTTCTTCTTTCTGCTTATGCTTCCCCTCCACTGTCTCTGTTGCTTCCCTTATCATCTAATACCTCAGAATTGCCAAGACCAATATTGACCGATAATCTCACCTCATTCCGCCGATAACTGAGATCCCGAAAATCCGCACCGTCGTAACTCTGATAACTCACACTGCTCTGTTCCATAGTTCCTATTATACTCTCTCTCCCCACAAACACCCACACTTTCATATTCATATTTATATAGTTTTTTGGACATGATATATAGTTGTTCAAGGAATTACAGTAGTTGGGTGTACATGCCAAAAGCCCCTTGTATGCAGAGCATTATGTGCAGGCTTAAAATTAACTTAAAATTAACTTAAAATTAACTAAGCAATGAAAGGTTCAAGTGGTATAAATTACAGTAAACAATTTACAGTATGAAGTACAATTGAGTATTTGAAAGAATGGAATTTGAACATATCAATACTGAAGCATTATAATTGTACAAATTTGTGGCATTACAATGTGTCTTGAAGTTTTAGGATTTAAGTAATTGGGAGAATTATTTGTAATGTTTAATACTGAGTGTTAATTATTTAGTCATGGGCGAGTAAGTGGTTTTTTAGAAGTCTTAAATTGATTTTCAGGCCTGGTTACTTTAGTATGTTCTGGTAATGAATTCCAGATTTTGGGGCCCTTTATGTGCATAGAGTTTTTACACAGTGTGATATGGACACGGGGTACATCAAAAAGAGATCTGTGTCTTGTGTTATGGTCGTGTGTCCTGTTAAGGTTGGTGAGAAGTTTGAGTGGAGGGTTTATGTTTGTGTGTATTGTTCTATGTATGTAGTAGGCACATGAATAAGTGTGGATGTTCTTTATGGTGAGCAGATTTAGACTTTTGAATAGAGGTGGAGATGCTGTCGCCAGTGGGAATTTGTTATCATTCTGATTGAAGCCTTTTGCTGGGTTATTAGTGGTCTTAGGTGATTTGATGTTGTTGATCCCTATGCACAAATTCCATATGTGAGATAAGGGTAGATGAGTGAATGATAGTGAATGAACATAGTACCGTGTTTTTGATAGTATGCCTACTGTCTTGGAGATTTTCTTGGAAATTTGTTGTTATTATTATAATCAAGGGGGAAGCGCTAAACCCGGAGGATTATACAGCGCCTGGGGGGGGGGATGTGGAAGGCATTCAGGCTTAATTCGGGGAACTGGAGCACAGATCCAATTCCCTAAATCAAGAGCCCCTCACCAACATCAAGGAACCTTCCTTGAGGGGCGGAAATTTGTTGTATATGTGTCTGGAATTTGAGGCTACTCTCTAGGTGGATTCCTAGGAATTTTCCCTCTGAGTCTTGTGATGGGTGATCCATTTAGTGTTATGTTAAGTGGAACATTTGCGGCTGTGGTTCCAAACTGAATGAACTAGGTTTTGTCAGTATTTAGGGTAAATTTATTCGTCATCATCCAGGTAGATATTTTCAGCAATTCAGCATTGAGAGTGTTGGCGAGTATGACTTGGTTTGGGTGGGAGAAGACGTATGTAGTGTCATCTGCAAATAATATGGGTTTGAGTAGCTGTGATGCATTCGGTAAGTCATTGATGTAGATGAGAGAGAGTGGTCCAAGGACACTTCCCTGTGGGACTCCTTCTGTGATTGGTTGTGGGGAAGAGTTTGCACCATTTGCGTACACGTATTAGCTTCTGTTACTAAGGTATGACTTTAGGTAATTGAAGGAGTGGCCTCTTATACCATAGTGTGTAATTTAGTGTGCAGCAATTCATGGTCTACTGTATCAAAAGCTTTACGTAAATCAATGAAAATTCCCAGTGGGACTTCTTTCTTCTCGAGAGCGGTATATATTAGCTCTAGCCACCATCCTGGTACTTGATGGATGATCCCAATCCTTGGCATACATGTCATTTCTGATGTAGAAGTGTGCCAGTTATCATTAATTGATACTGCAATAGCTTTATAACGTTTTTTCTCCATCCGGCAATTAGCACCAATTTGCCCTGGACAGCCATTCATTTCCAGCCTATCTCCTTGGTGAATGTCTCCCTTCGTCCTAGTTATGTTCATCACTGACCTACACCTGCTAGTCAAGTTCTTACTCCTATGCATGATAATACCATTGCCTCTAGCACTAAGGCAGATAATAGGATTCTCCCATTACCATTCACGATGCTGTCATGACGACTAACGATATCCAGCATCCCTGTCGCAGGAAAACATATCCTAATCCTTCTCTTCCTATCCTTGATAAAGAGCCCTGCCCATGAATTCGATTAGAGAGTCACCAACAGGAACAAATTATACTTTCTCTAGTGGTCTCTGATCCGACGTTCTCGACGGCCCCACACTTGTCAGGTAGGACAGCAAAATGAATTTGCTGTCCCTACATCAGCCTCTAGTCCTTCCTAGGATATTGTTCCCTTCAGTACTTTCCTCCACACCAGCTTCCAGGCCCGTGGCCCGGTGGCATAAGCTCTCGCTTCCCACGGTGAGGTGTCCGGGTTCGCATAGACAACCGGGTGAGCATAGACAACCGGTGTTTCTTTACACCGGTTGTCTATGCTCACCCACCAGTATAAAATGGGTAACTGAGAGATAGCCGACTATTGTAGATCGCATCCCGGGACAAAACTGACCTAATTTCCCCGAAATGCTCTGCATAACAAGCGGCTTTCTATTTAGTAGCATGTCATTGATATCAGCTATGGTCTGTATACCTTGTACATGTACTTGTAGAAATAAAGATATTATATTATTATTACTATTATTATTATTATTATTATTATTATTGTGTTGTTGTTGTTGTTGTTGTTGTTATTGTTATTATGTGAAACAGAATCATTGGTGATCTGAGAGCGTGGCGGGTGAATGATAGGGCTGCAGAGGGTTCTTCTTGCTTTGCAAAGTCGTGGTGGGTACACAGGCTTGTGTGTTGTGCCCATGACCCAGGAGGGCCATGCCCACGAGAGGGAGAACTAGTAGGCCCTATGTCTTGCTGCTAGGCCGCTGAGAAAGTGAGAGCGTGTGGGACCAGCATCCCACTGACCTGGGCAGGTCTAGAGGGCAGCACCTTAGTGCCGCAAAATATGAACTAAGCTGGCAGACAGCTTAGGCTGTCTATGCAGACAGTACAGGCTGTCTGTGCAGACAGTACAGGCTGTCTGTGCAGACAGTACAGGCTGTCTGTGCAGACAGTACAGGCTGTCTACATACGCTCGGCCACCTACCTCGCGTCGTCCCGACGCGACAATACTGGTGGTAAAAAACCTCGGTCTCTCTCTCGTAGGAACAGGGCACAGAACACAAAATAAAAAACATATATATACATATGGACATGGAAAAAAAACTTCCTACAGGGAGGGAAGAATAAAAGATGTGGGGTGTGCTAAACATCGTGGTCAAAGGCAGTGAGCATCGAAGGGCATCACTGCACGCCTTCCTGCGTCTGGACAGATACTGCAACACAGGAGACATCACTGCGGC